CAAGTGGCAATACACGATACAAATCATAAAATGTGCGTGCACGAATCGCCAGCTGTGCATGGATCATCTTGCCTGTATATAAGAAGTTTTTAGACTTTCTTACTGCACCGGATTCACAAATGTGATGATGCGTTCGAGGCTAGAAAAAAGCTCGGATATCTGAACATTACCAGATTTACTTGGCTATTGGAAATATTTTTGACTTGGCTCAGTAGTTCATAACAACTATATTTAAATTATAGACATGCACTTAAATTAACATTACTGGTTTTTAATATGGGCAGCACGGTGGCGCAACTGGTAGAGCTGCTGCCTCTCAGTGAGCAGGTCCCTGGTTCAAACCCCGGTCCAGGGGCCTTCTGGGTGGAGTTTACATGTTCTCTCCGTGCATGCGTGGGTTTCCTCCCACAGACCAAAAACATGCATGTTAGACTGATTGGTAACTCTAAATTGTCCCTAGGTGTGAGTGAGAGAGTGAATGTTTGTTTGTCTCGTTTGTCTCTATGTGTCCCTGTGATGGACTGGCGACCCGTCCAAGGTGTACCCCGCCCCTCGCACAGTGATTGCTGGACATGGGCACCAGCGACCCCCCTGACCCAAAATGGAGCAAGCGGGTAAAGAAAATGGATGGATGGATGGATGGTTTCTAATAAAGTTAACTTTGTAGACTGTAGAGTAGTCCCTCGTTTATAGCAGGGGACCCGTACTCTGAAGAACCGCGATAAGTGAAAAACCATAACAAGTAGGATTAGTAGTATTAGTTATAATTTTTATATATATATATATATATATATATATATATATATATATATATATATGGACTCTAAACGCTCAAAGAGCACAGCATGTCATGATCTCAGCTCTCTGCCTCCGGCTGAACTCTGCCACCCTTGGCCACGCCCATTTCTCCGTTGCAGAGAGGAGATGTGACGTGCTGCAGGAGGAAGTTTCTCCTGCAGCTGTGGGCTGTACAAAAGGTACAGCAGGTGAAAAATACAGTACTTTAAGATAATTCAATCTAAATAAAACACCCATGTCGATCGTGTGGCTCATCCATCAATCAGCCAATTGTGTGTCATGTCCAATCTTATTTTGAAAAACCATCAGAGCGAGTCCACAAAAAAAGGAATTGCAAAGGACTACTGTACTGCTCAGATACATCCAGTAAATCTAGTAATGCTCAGATATCCCAGCTTTTCTTCAACCTTGAATGCAGCATTACATTTGTAATGCTCAGATATCCCAGCTTTTACTAGCCTTGAACGCATCATAACATTTGTGAATCTTGTGTGGTATGAAAGTCTCAAAACGTCATAAAAACAGGCAAGCTGATCCGTGCACAGCTGGAAATTCGTGCATGGACATTTTCTGATTTGTATGCGCAGTGTATTACTATTTATTCCATACACATTTGTGAATCATGTTGTACACATACAAATCTTCTTGTACAAGTTCGTGAATCTTTTTGAGACCAGTTTCATTCCCTACAAAAAACCCACTGAACAGAACAAGATGCAGGAAAACATCCACAGCTGATACAAAAGAGTCAAAAGACGTGATCCGTTTTTTTATCGTCTTCAACTTTATTGAAGAACAACACTTTCAAGTAAGTCGCAGCTTTCAGCACTACCGTAGTGTGATCGTTAGTAGTGGTCACTGTAGACAAGTCTGGACCCCCCCAAGGGTCTTTTGTTGTGCAGGCTACTTCACATTTAAAATCTCCAGAACCCCCCCAACAAACTGCATGGCATTAAAAGACAAAAAGAGGAAGAGAAGTCGTACTGGTTGATCATTCACTGAAACTAAAACAATCCTGGCAAGACATTTGATGATCACTTTTTACATTCAGTCTCTATTATTAAACAAATGTGCTTCAGATTTTAGAATTTGTGTTTCATCAACACTACGGATCACATGTCAAAGGTTGAACAAAAATAAAACCGTGACTGAAAAAAAACAGTCGTCTCACCGAGTACCGTGCGTCTACGTCGTTCCTTTTTACATTTTATCCTTCAAGACCGTCTGTTCATCGCTGCAACAGTTAATTAAATAGAGGCAATCATGGTTGTTCTAACCAGATACAATTCATACTACAGAGAACAAAACAAATTACAATAAAGTGATAGTTTGGACATTTTGAATTGGGGTTCTGTGGAATCGATATGAACAGTCACCATCTTACCTGTTGTGGATAGTTCTTTGAATGCCCTCAGTTTTGGAGAAATGGTTTGAAATTGACAGGATTAACTTAAGAGCTCATCTAAAAAGATTCAAGAGCAAAAGGGAATTGTTTATTTTACAGTAAACATCTGTGTAATTAGAACTTAACAGCAGCAGCTAGCTGTAGCACTAACAGCAAGAATTTGATGAAATTTCTGCAGGAATACCTGCAAAATCAAAAAGGTACAAAAATCCTTAAAAACAAAAAGCTCATGAGCTGTAGTGAAATGGTAACTTTCTACAGAACCCCACTTCTAAACGTCTGAACTGTCCTTTTAATGCAGTGGTTCCCAACACAGGTCCTTGAGGAACACCATCCTGCAAGTTTTAGTAGTTTCCCTGCTCCAACACACCTGATTCAATGATTAATTACTGCATCAAGTTCTGTGGAAGCCTGTTAATCACCGATTTATTCAAATCAGGTGTCAAAGCAGGGAAACAAGACAAACATGCAGGATGGCGTTCCTCAAGGGCCAGAGTTGGGAACCACTGCTTTAATGCACTGTCACATTCAGTTCTAATTAACCGTGAAATTAATGAAATACAGTTCTTATAAAATTTGGGTTAATACAAAAACCAGTCTGTGGATGAGAATAGCTTGTACTTGTCACGTTGTGCGTGAAACCTGAAGCAGGGAGCGCTGTCCGTCCGAGCGGAGAGAAAGAATTGCACGATGCTGCGCAGGAAGTGCCTCAGCATCTCTGCTCAGCCAGTCGCTGTAAAATCTCCCACATTTCGTTGTAAGCAGACAGACTTTTCACAGCTTTGAGTCCCGGAGGCTGCGGGAATGAGACGAAAGCCATCCAATTATCTACACGTAGAGCTATAAAGAGCTTATGTCAAAAACATATTGATTGCCTTTCTTATCCTAAACGAGTGTGCAATCCACTGAAACACACCTCTCTCTTTAAGAGAGCACAAACCGAGGGATCAGCTTTGGATTATAATACTCAGCCGGATAATCACCGTGCAGGCGCGTTAGAAAAACATACACTTACAACATACACAAGGAATACAGCGGAGATAATCGCTTGATGGAACACGAGAACATTCATTCACATCTGACTGCGTCACATCCGACGTTTGGGGAAAAGGCACAAGATCCTGCAGCCCCTCCTCTGTGGTGACAGACAGAAACACAGGACGTCCCAGAGTTTGAGCTCCACAGGACGTACGTTACGCCTTCAAGGTGAAAGCACCATCAGGCTGGTACCCCTGGTGATCCTCATACACCCTCGTGACGGATGGAACAGTTTAGACGATGGCGTCTGAATTACTAAAGCATGTGGAGTTATTTGAGTGCTGTGATAAAACAAAAAGGAGTGAGGAAAATGTGGGGTTTTCATAATTGATACGGTTATTGCACGATTTATTGGTAGTATTGTGTTTTCTGGACATCATGCGCACACCCAGTCTGGTGTGGAGCAGCTAACAAACATGTTAGGTTTGAACAGTACGGAAGCCTGTTGCTGCCATTTTAAAAAAAAACATAAAGCAGAACCGTGTCCATTCGTGTGAGAAGTTACCTGTTTGAACAACTTGTTAATGTTAAATCATGATATTTTCATATTCTTACAGGTTTTCATAGTGTTATTACAGTATATTATATATGTGAAATGTTTTCTGGTTTTAACGTGATAAGTATTTTGTCATAAATTTTGTAACTATGTGAAATATATTTTGTAAGATTAGGTAAATATCACTTTGTAAAATACTGCATATTATTTGATTTGTTAGTTTCCGCAACAAAACGTTTGTTATTTTATCATACATACATGCCACATTTACCAAGAAAACAAGTTTAAGTATATTATTACAGGAGTAAAATTATATTCTAATGTTCCTACATAGTTTTTCATATTATTTTCACTAGGGATGCACGATATTGGATTTTTGGCCGATATCCGATACGCCGATATGTTAAAACTTATTTGGCCGATAACAAATACCAATACCGATATATTTTCCCTAGACCTACTTACAGAGAGTACACAGCTTTCTCTGCTGCGGAATTAAAATACTACATTACTCTGCATGGTCTTTGTCAGTTTGGTCTGCTACCAAATGCAGATGTCAAAAAGGGGCTGAAAAAGATGCTTGGATTATGTTCAATGTCAAATTTTGTCACTGGGCTGTCATACAAAAAACAGCGATATATATATATATATATATATATATATATATATATATATATATATAGATACCATGCCGATAATATTGTGCATCCCTAATTTTCACAGTAATACAATGTACTTATTACAGTATTTTGACTTTAGAGGGAAACATTCTTCAAACTATTTATTAGAATCTGATAAGTATGTGTATGAAATAATATAAAAACAACAACTTGAACATGGAAAATGTATCATGAAACCTCAAAAACATGTTCTCTTGTGAAAGGGATCTCCACAACACCCATAACTGTTTTTATTTCAGGCGCTCCCTCCTGCAGGGGTCACCACCACACATGGTTTGGTAATTATTTTACGCCAGATGTTGCTCCTGATGCAACCTGGGCTCTAACCAGCAGCAAACGCTAATTACAAAAACGTGCTGCTGTTTAAATGTTATCGCGTTACATTATATAAACAAGAAAAATGATTTGATGGAACATATTAAGGATGTATGTTGTAATAAACTAAAAACTATTGTTAGAGCATGAAACATAAACTTGTTGAATATTTTTTTCACAAGGTCATGTGATATGGTTTAATTTTGCTGAGTTGACAGCAATATGCTTCCATAGTTTGACATGAACACACATCAACTAATGAAACACTGTGTGTGTGATGTGCAGCTGGCCTCTTTGGCTCATGCCTCTACTGTTTATGAAACTAATTCATTAGAAATTTCTTGCCGATTCTATGAAAATCCAATTGTTTGTGCTTATGACAACCTAGCTAAGATTTGATTTGATTTGAAACATGTCACGTGTGTCAGGTTAAATCAGTAAAGTATACTCACGGTGCTGCAAGTAAGCCTGCAGTACGACCAGAACATGTGAAGATGTATTTGTAAAGCAGAAGCCAAATGTGAAACATCCTGTTTTTCTGTCTGTGCAGTTAGCAGTCTGCTGACGGCAAATCACTGACCAGAAACTGTCCCTGCATTTGTAAAACCAAGCTGGGACACCTGACATGTAGGAGAAGAGTAAACAGTTCTACGCAGACAACACCTGCATAGATCCTGAACATTTAAATACTGGATAAACATGCACGGAGAGGAGAAACAATCAAAAAACACAAGAAGTTCATGCTTTGATTATGCTCTGGGAGTGGAAGACAAACCCCTGTTTAGCACTGGATTAATGCAATAAATAATTAGATGGTATTCATCTACGTTGGACGTTTCACTGAGGCATCACAGAAGTATGTCTTGTCATGCTCTACGCTGATGATATACAGTTTATACAGAAAAATTAAGCATGCAGGCTACTGTTATAAAACCAAGAGCAGCCAATTTCACGTGAACTGAACATTTGTGGAAAAAGAAAAAGGCATATTGCTAGCATTCCTATTGCTGACATTCTGCCAATGAGCCAGCGCCATTTTCCAAGGGCACCAGGATTAGTGTACATATTACACACTATACTGTACTTGAAAACAGCGTCAGGAAAGAAAAAGTAAAAATAATGGATTGAGTAGATTTTCCTTCAGTTAGGGTCACAGTGTCACTGATGACAGATGTTTGACATTTTGTTTTGGGAGATTCACTGATTGCGAGGAAAGTGATGCTGCCGTTTTACTGAAGTCCGTCTGAGACAGTGTTATTATGACCAGTACCAGATAAAAGAGTATAAAAACGTAAACCGATGAAGGGACGTACAGTCTTTGTAAGGCAGGGGGAGAGGTAGAACAAAAACATTCGATCAGAGGCAGAGGGTTGCAGTGGATCTTGTATTACTGTGACTGCTAATCCTGAAACCATAATACATCAAGAACAATCATGAGATGGATGTCAGAATGTGGTTTGTCCTCTCTCCTTAACTCTTAGCGTTTGAAATCAAAAACGGAGGGCGTGGCTGGTGACAGCGAGAGGCGCTACTTGTTGCAAGGAGGCCACAGCAGGTAAAACTAGGAGAGGCATTCTGGTGTTTTTCTGTCTCGTGCTCTGAGGTTCGACGAGTTTAAGAGCCCTATAGGTTGATGCAAACACTGCGTGGGTCTGAGAGTTCTTCGCTCCGAAGGCCAGCGCCTGCATGGACGGACACTGGGATGAGAAGAAGCTTCCAGTTGTCCAGGGCGGACCATGTTTCTGAAGAGGCTCAACTTTTGCACATCGGTTTTTTTTCTGATCTGACTCCTCCAGTATTATTGCTTTCCTGTTTTGTCCACAGGCACTTGAGAAGATTGGGCTTTGGCTGAAGTTGAGCATGAGAGCAGACTAGGGGGTAGGAGATGATGACGTGATGGAGGGGGCCAGGAACAGATGGTGTTCAAAGTGTGCTTGTGTACTCTACCTTGTCTGAAACCAGAAAGCTTCCTCCCAGCAGTGTATTAATCTGCAAACGCTGGTGCTTGAGTGAGTCATAGGGAACTCTCCTCCTCCTCCCCAGTTGGGGTCAGAATCTGAAGACTCTGACTTCGAAGGGGACGGGATGCTGAGACTATAGCAACAGCCAGAAGCTCCTTAGAGTCCAGCCTTCCTGCTTCTGTCCGAGCCCGATTATTATTCATCCTACATCAGTCCGTGTGGTTGTTCGCATGCTTCTCATCTGCACAAAACGTTTTCTCCGCTTCAACTTTTCGCCCTCCTCTCCCTGTCAAGACTTTGTAGCAGCCACGGGCAATCTTGTACATCCAGATCGTGTTCAAGATGTCCAGAGCGATGCACGAGGTGATCCAGGCCACCTGGGCACCGAAGCCCAGCCGCTCAAACTCCGGCGTGCCAAATGTGGCAAAAACGCTCGCCCAGTAGGACGGCATGACTGCGATGCGAACTAGGAAGAACACCACTGCCATGAGGACGCCGTTTAGTACCACCATCCGGTGTGAGCGGGGGTACTTCAACGCCTCAAAGAACCACCTGCAGAGAAAAGGAGATTATAAAACCTGAATAGATTTACATGAGTCAAGCAGACGTCTCTTCAGTCTCACCTTTGATTTACAAATGGCGTGGATAACTCGGAAATGAGACGGAAATTGGCAAAATAGGGAAGAACGCCACGGGTCTGCAGCAACAAAACATCAAACCATTCAGTTTATAAAACACTAAAGGGGCAAACTGATTTTGTGCAAATAAAAAAAAAGTGTCTTAAAATTCACATCATTACCACGAAAAAGGAGCGACTCACCAAAACATATCCGTAGGCGTAGAGCGCCGCCAAGTGGTGGCAGACAAAAAAGCTGTCACCCATTGTGCTCCAGTTACATGCAAGCAGCACAAGGTCTGGAAAAAAAGGAATGGGTGAGGGTCAAACAAGAATAGGTAAGCTTTTCTTTTTATTTATTTTGTTGTTTAAGAGAACAAGATTATTTTTACACTGCGGTTATAATCTTTAAATGTCTAACTCTACTGTTAAATTTCTCCATACACAGAAAACAATGAACATATCTGATAAATGATATTAACATGAGAAGCATGATGGCTTTTAAAATAATAAGAAAAGAAGGTGTTAACCCAAAATACACAGGATAGTCAGAATTAGTGATGTGCCAAACTGCTAACCAGAACCTGATGAGTTATTTCTTGATGAACTTGATACAAAACTCAAACATTTTTCAGTCTATGGATGCACAAAATCTAAGATGCAATTCCTGTTATCTGGTTCCAAGAACGCAGCATGACTAATGGCTAATATTTCACACTGACACTTCACTGTTGAGGTTTTTACTAAATGAGTAAGACTCTAAGTTGAACATTAAAACATCTGAAAATGGTGAAAAATAGTTAAAAAAGCACAAAACATGCAAAAATCTACTTGGATTTCTGAAGCTCATTTGACTTTTTTTGTACCAGACAGGCTGAGACGTTCATGCCAGTATCAGCTGCCACTTAAACATGAGACATACGAGTCTGGCTTTTGTGTAACATAAAACTGTGAATACAAGAATGTTGACAAATGTAAAGAAAAAAAAAACATTAATCATTGGGATAATCAAGGAGCAATTTTCCATGCTCATCATTGCAATTAAAAAAAGAACAAACCAATTCTATATCATGTATAAATTATAAATATATGGGAAAAACTTTTGCAGAATACAAAAGTTTAAAAAAATCTGAACTGATCAGAATCGCGAGGTCTTTAACGTACAAACAGAATGTAAATTAAAATCAAACTATAAAAGTCATTCCTGAATATTCTAACTAGATATGCAACGATTAAACTGTCTGATCCACTCATCACAGTGCAAAGTGTCATCTCTTACAAATCCAGAAAATAACAGCTAAATCATTCTTGTTGAATTTACAGCCAAGTTACATCAGAGTTCAAGTTTATGTTTTTACATTTGGAGCTAAACAAATTGGTCGTTCTGACATCTGTGCATTGGGTAAAGGTTAATTATTAACAGAGGTTAAAAAGAAATGATTGATCTTACCATAAAGGAGATAACCACAGGTTATGGCTACATTTAGTTTGACGAGATTAGGGTCACCCCTGTGGAGCAGCAAAAGACAAAGTGTACAGGTGATTCCAGCTCAAAGGGAACATCATCACAATCAAAAGTGATCAGGGAAAACTCATTCACTTTTTCAGACTAAGAGAAATATAACTTTTATGTTCCTTTGATCACCTTTTTCTGAAAACCACTAAGGTCGTTTTCACACCAGATAGTCCGGTAGACTCGGTTCGGTTCAGGACCAATATTCATGACCTTTTGTTTACATTTGAGCTGGTGCGTTTGTATTCACACTGCACTGTGCAGTCAGTCAACCTGTTGAACCAACCTATTCCCCCACTCGCCTGTGGGGGCGCTGCATCAAGAACTACTGAAAGAAACGACACAAAAACCTCTGAAGACACATCTTCTTCTTCTTCTGTAAATAAAAATAAAAACGAAGTGGCATCAATTTGAGCAGTTTTAGGAGTTATATTTTGTCATTTTTCAAAAATGGACTTAGCATGAGCAGAAGATGAGACAGAAGACCACGGAGAATGTTGTTTTCCACACAAGTCAGCTGACGGCTCCATATAAGGTCAGAGAAATGTGTGTTTGTTTGTCCTGTGGAGCGGGGCTCGGTCTGTTTACATTCACACTGTACTCGATGCTGGAGTTCTCTTCTACCGGACCGAGACCTAGGTTTTAGCCCGGGCCAGAGTTTGCCTTTTTGTTCCGTGACAGAGTTCGATGGCGCGTTCACACCTCCCTAAACGAACCAGACTTTCAAGGAAAACGAGCTAGAGTTTGATTAAAGCGGACTAAACAGGGCTAGTGTGAATGCACCCTAAGACTTGTTTTTAAAAAGTAAATCAATGCAAGAACCCTAAAATACTTCATCACAGTCAGGGTTAAGAGTTTAGAACATTGCAAGAGCGTGGGAAGGGTTTATAAAGCCTTAAAATATATAGAAATACTACAATAAATATAGCGTTCCCACTTCGTGGTTTTCACCTATCACGGGGGGTGTTTGGAACGTAACCCCCGTGATAATCGAGGGACTACTGTATGACTTCTATGTTCCTTTGATCACGTCTTTTTCTGAAAACCACCAAGACTCGGTTTTTAAAAGGTAAATCAATGCAAGAACCCTAAAATACTTCATCACAGTCAGGGTTAAGAGTTTAACTTTGATGAAGTTTCTGCAGATCCCAGGTCTGAATGTGGTCTGACCTAATGTAAGAAGAGCCAGCTGACAAGGTAAAAAAAAAAAAAAAAACTGGGGGAGGGTTGCAATTGGAAAATATATGCATCACTTTCTGTCCCTTGTTAGATGAAGCCTCTGAATGAACGGATCGACAACAGGCTTTGATGACCATTAGGTGTCCTTGCAAAGAACATCTGTTTAAAATAGCTACAGAGGTATCTCTCTTCCATTGGCCACCTGATCCCACTATCACTCTTAGGTATCATGTAGCAAGCGACCGGTGTATGGTTGGTGTAACTGAACCGTGCAGTGCACGGACTGTACAAACATCCACACCATCAACCCAAGACAAAGTGACCTGTTCTCACAGCAGTGACTCCTCTCCATTATGAACTTTGACCTCACCACAAGTTACAGCTTCCTTTGACCTAGACCTTTGAAACTTTGGTTCCAAGAACGTTTGCTTATTCCAGCTTGGGTTCCCTTTCACACAGAACGACAACCTCATTGTGAAGTTTTAAAGAAAAGAAATAGGTCTCGGAGAGTTCCTCAAGGGTGTATTAGGAAAGCAGAGGGTTTAACAAGGGTTAAACTTTGTTAAACATCAACATGAAAGGTCATTTATAGCGAGTTTGAGTATGTTCAAAGTTTCTGTAGCTAGTTTGTGGTGGTTTATCATCGCAGTATATTAAAGCTTGGAATGGACTGTGGGGAAGGTTGGTGTGAACATATCCGACATGGGGCCCATGTGAAGAAGGACTGACCACGCTGGACTCATGCCTACGATGTAACTGATCATGACAAGCACAGACCTGATACCCATAGCAATACTGCTAGCATGGTGTGATTTTCTAGAGGTTTCTTGAAGGCTTCATTATATTGTAGCAAGCAACACAAAGATCATGACATCAGAGTGGAGTTGCAGTTTTCACGCCTCAGACATGTTGTAGTCATTGCAGTTCTCCCCTTTAATACGTTGAAGCCAGATTAGCACAAAAAGAAGAGTCGTGTACAGGTACAGAAACCTAAAACTTTAATTTGTATAGTGAAGTTTGAAGGTTATGTGATATTTGCAATGGTTGTACCTTCTTGGTGTTTGTTAAATCGCATGCATGCCTACGGAAACAAAACTGCTCACTGCTCTTTTTGTCTTAATGTGCCACTTGCACAGCGTGCAACGTTAGGGAAATCAGGATGCATGTTGCAGGCCAACATAGCAAGCAGCATTTTGGCTAAGAGTTGCATCAGGTGGGGCCTTTAGAACATGTTAAGTGCAGAGGACATGGTTTGAGGGATGTGGAAAACAGCAGGAAAACCTAGTAGGTGAGTGCTAAGAACATAGAAGCATCATGTTAGCTTTAAACTAAATGACTTTTTTTCAATAATTTGCTGCAGTCATCTCCATCTCCATATTCTACCTCTCATCTATAGTCAGATTGCAGAGGCAACAGGTCCAGGAGAGAAACCCAAACATCCTTCTCCCCCAGCATCACGTTCCAGCTCGTCATGGAGGATACCAAGGAACTCCCAGGTCAGAGAAGATACACAATCCCTCCAGCATTTTCTGAGTCTTCCCTGAGGCCTCCTACCAGTGGGACATGCCTGGAAAACCTCTGGGGGAGGGTGGGGGGAAGCATCCAGGAGGCACCCTAATTAGATGTCCGAACCACCTAAATGGACTCATTTTGATATGAAGGAGCAGCGTCTCTACTCCAAGCTCCCTTTGGATGACAAAGCTCCTCACCCGATCTCTAAGGCTTAGCCCGGCCACCCCGCAAAGGATGCCAATTTTGGCCGCTCATATCCGGGATCTCGTTCTTTCAATCAGGATCCAAACTTCATGACCATAGGTGAGGGTTGGAATATAGACAGACCAGTAAATTAAGAGCTTTGGCTTTCGACTGAACTCTTTTTGCACCACAACTTACTGAAAAAATGCCTTCATTACTGAGGATGAGGCCTCAACTTGTCAATCCATCTCATGCTCCATCCTACCATCACTTGTAAACAAGACATCCAGATACTTAAACTCCTCCACCTGAGGCAAAGACTCCCCATCAACCTGGAGGGTTGATGGGGAGTCTTTGAAACAGGATTTTACCAGTTTCTTGTTGAAATCCTGCTACACTCCAATAGGTCATTAAGGTCAAGGTCATGGAAAGAGTTATTGTTGTTATCCAGTGTGAAGAGACCTTACGGAAACAAGTAACTGAGGTACACAAACATACCATCAGAGGTATGTTAGCTCATCTTATCCAGCAGAGCAGTTATTCATGCATTTGGTTTATTTTGCCCTCCTTCTGTCCCATTAATGTCCATTTCACCCCTGAGCTCCCGCTGTTAACTGATCAGTTGGATCATTTTACCTCTGCACTCAGACAGAAATGCATCAAACATACATCAAGTGGAACAGCAGCCAGATCAAGTAGTGGTGAAACGTCCGAGCGCCTGCAGGCACAGAGTCCAAAGGCTTTTTCATAATCACATCAGTGTGATCCGGCTCCAGTTAATCATTTGTACAGTAAACCCATGGCCCTAACTCTATAAATGAAGAAATGAGTGGAGTTTACTCTTGGAGGAGATGCAGAGGCACGTACACAGGGAGTGTCATGAAAGCTCAAAGAATCTTCTGCTGATAAGCGACACTTGGTGTATATATTATTTAAACATACGACGCCTTTTTTCTCCCTCAATTATTAAAAACATTTATGTCTTCCTAAACTTATTGGATTAAATGGAACTGTATTAATTCAAAAAAGAATTCTGTATGCAATATATATTACTTTTACTTTAATTGTAATAATAAAAATGCCTGTGAGGCAGAATACAGAGGTAACAAATAAACATCGTCTCAGTCTCTGACACACTTATGTAAGAATAAACAGAAATCATTAACGTTACTGATCAATGTTGGGCACCCAATCCTTGTGTTCACAAATTACTGAAGTTACTTCATGTATAAATAATCCAACTTGGGGAAAAAAAAAAAAAAAAAGAATGGTTGAAATAAATCATAAAAAAATGACTGAATGGAATTCATACCAGACTCAATCTGGCGAAGGATCATTCAGAATATGTATTCATCCTCAGTGTATGCGACGCGCTGTAATCTAATTCCAGGTGGTGCACCTGCTGCACTGGTCCAAAGACAAGCTGTTCAAGATCAAAGCTGACCTGGACCCTGCATGTAACCGCTGTAAACAAACTCCAGCTCTGCTCTTACACACATTCTGGACTGGTCCAAAGCTGTGGACCTATTGGCAATCTATTTTTGATACTTTCTCTGGGATATGTGGAAAAACTGTACCCATCAACATTCATCTCATTGTTTGGGGTGGCCCCTGTGGGTGCATCCTTCAGCAAGTATGAGAGGGAAGTGATTGCTTTCAGCTCTCTTCTAGCCATATCCCCCAGCATTTGAACACTGGATAAGGAAAGTTATGTGTCATATTCATTTGGAAAAGATTAGATATACTCTGAAAGAATCTGTTGAGAGATTTTGGGACAACTGGCAGCCATTTGTATCTTATATTGAAAGTATGTCAGCAGATTGTGTAGTTGTCATGGATGCTTGTGTATTGTGTATGCACATGTCTGAGACTGAGTTTTTCTCATCTGGATGCCTGTCTGATGTATGCACGTCTGTGTCGCTGATCCTGTATAGGAGGGGATTTTGTTGTGCGTTTTTTTATTTTTATTCATTTTTAACAAAAAACTTTTAAACATGTCGTATTAAATCAGCAGACATGACAACGAACACCTCTTTATTGAGGAAATAAGAGATGTTAAAACAAGATTGTGACAACTGTCTGGCAGGTGGCCAGATGCTCTTAACACAGAATCTTCCTCATTCTCCAAAATGCACCATGCACATATTAAGTTCAAGTACAGATAAGAATCAAGAAATGCAGCACGGGTGCTGCTTGTCCACTGAATGGATTCTGATAAGTGTCGCCAGCTAAAAACAATGCGGACGTCTGACAGTCGGGCTCAGGGCGGCTGATCGCAGCAGGCAGAGAACGATGTGAACCGAGTGACACCTTAATGATGTAACACAATCAGACCGACGGTAGAATTAATGCTCGTACCTCTGAACTGCTTCAACAAGATAATCTTTAATGTTTTTAGGTCTAGCTGGGTGAAATGGATTAACCGTGAAAGTCTTGAGGAGTGACACAAAAAGTGCAAGAGAAAAACACTGTTGCAGAAAATCTTAGTGAAACAAAGATGCCGGGAGGGGAGGAGTGAACACCGAGCACCTGGACTAGCAGTGGATAAAAACTGCTTGGAGGAAGAATAGAGAGCTCTTCATCTTTTCTCTGCACTCCCCCGTTTCTTAACCAGCCCCCACCCTTTCCCATTTTCTCTTTTCTCCCCCTTTTCTGCTCCAGTATTGCTGCTGGAGCAGAGCTTACAGAGAGACAATGAAAGTGCAGGAGGTAGGCTGCATTGATTCGACAGCTGGAGATGTGGGGTACAACGGACAGCTAGAGGCAGGAGGACGCTCACGAGTGACGGTGAAGTGTATGTTGGGGGGGGGGGGGGGCTGTTGGGGTAGTGGGCTGAGCAAGAGACTGGTGGCTATAAAAAAATGGATCTTTTTGATGAGATTTCAGTCTGCAAGACAGTGAGAGGAAGTGAAACAAATAAAGAGGAAAAAACAAGAAAAAAGACAAAGAGGGAAGCAGACAAAGCTGCAAATGTTAATAAAATTACACATGAAAAGCTGAAGTGAAATGGTAAAAAAATATAAAATAAATAGATTTCTTTTCATGACTCAGTGATGCCAGTGAAGAAGTGAGTGGTAGCAGAGAGAGTTGAAGGAACAGACAGGGGGAAGACAGCCGAGACAGAAATCAAAGGCTAAATCCGGTGAGTCTACAACCCACGGGAGCCTCTCCTGACACCTTACATCCACTCGCTCTCACTCACTCTTTCGTTCTGAAGATAGAAACCACCCTCTTCGTCTTTGCAAAACGTGTCAACCCTTATGAGCATCCCCCATTCCTCACAAGCCATCGTCATCCCTGCCACCCTGACGAGACACAGCGAGAACGCCACTCCCAGTAAAAACACCCAGCAATCATAATCCCATTTTGTAGCCTTCACAACTGACAAGACATTTTTTATTTTACTTTTGTCCCACTGTACTTTAAAAGTAGAACACAAAATCAGTTTTAAGAAATTTAGTTTCAGATTAGAGGACTATTAGTTGAGACGTTGCAATAACAAAACCTCATTTAATTCAAAGTGCCAGTGCACAATGAAGAGCTCATCAAACCAACAGCTTGATCAAGAAAATAAAAACTAAATGAGCAAGACACGCAAAAAGGTTCAGATTTACATACTAAACATTGTAAGCAACACTCATAGTTTTCAATTTATTTATTTTATTCAACAATTTGAATTTTACTTCAAATATTTGACCCCAGAAAGATCAATTATAGTAGAGTACATAGAGTTTTGCTTTATTTATGCTTCCAATACAGTTAATATGTCAAAACATTGGCAATTCTTGAGCGTAGATTTTTATAAAATGAATAATATTTGGTTTTAGGGGGGAAAAAAAGTAGATGGCTATTGGAAATTTGGGCAATAGCTGCATTGGCACCACCTTCAAAACATCTCCCAGTTTGTTCAGTTTCTTTTTGCACTACCATACTGGTGGGAACTGAGAAGCATGTTCCTTTCTGTGTCTCTTACCAGACGGGGTTGGCGTTGACGGCGTCGTCGAACCACAGGATGTATAAACAGAACAAACCCACAATCAAGGCGTGCACAGTGGACACCAGCCTGGAATAAAACATACAAACACAAAATTACATAAAAGATCATGATGATAGACTAATAGAGTCACAGTCAGGAACAGAAGCTAATGAGGATCATTACACTGTCTTGTTAAACGTCTGTTTATACTTGCAGAAATATATAATTAACTCCCTCTTGTTTTTCTTTAAAAACATCAAGCCTGACACAAGTGTCACCCCTGACCTTAGGAGGGGTTATCTAGCTCACTCGATATGTATTCCAGAGGTTAGGTCACTCATTTGAATGCCTTTACTAAAACCCCAGTTCTCACCCTGTCACTGTTCAGCCTTTGGGATGGTCCACAAGCTCCAGCTGCTAAACCTGAGCTCCGGCCAACACTGCCTCAACAAACAGCCTACTGTTCTTGGGGGTGGGGGGCTCTGTATAAAGTCAGTCAAATACTTCAGAGAGGAAGGAAGTGACTCAGAGAATCAATACAACCCAATACGTATAGTATGAAACTATTTACTCAACAGGACAAACAATAAAAGAAAGGAACAAATGAAAAAAATAAACACAAAGTAGAAAAGACCATTACGAGAACGTTCCCCTTAAGGTTCCTTTAACAGTATACGCTGCTCTTTCTTTAGAAATGCTGTCTCACTCGTCTCCTTGCACTTAAGTTACATAAACAACATACTGATACACCGAGAGTGGGCTGTTATGCAACAGTGAAGCACTCTAAAGTGAACCATCGGTGCTTTGCCTTTGACTTGTTCTGGACTCTTTGGCCAGTGCGCTCGATCCTTTCTGTTACGGTCAAAAGAGGCTAATCTCAACAATAGCTGGATGAAGGAGAGGGTTATCTCTGAGTGCTGGCTGACCATAAACAGATAACACAGAGCCAACACGTCCAACAGAGACAGTGAAAGATGTTACGCAACCTTAAATGACTGCCCTCTGAACTTAACCCTGGAGCTTTAGCTTGAAACTTTACACCACTGCATGCTGGGACGGAGTGCAAAGAGGAGCTTGGTTTGACCAGGTCCATCTCAGAGATGCATTATTAGAAACACACCGTAGTTAGTTTTGTCACCTTGTCCCAGTCCAAAGCATGGGCTTGACATAAATTGTTGTCCAAGACAACTAAACTGTGTTTGAGCATGTGGATGGGCTTGTGAGGTTGTCAAATTCAACACATAAAAGCAATTACCATTACCCAATTACCAATTACCATGATCCCCCAAACACTGATGGACAAACTACTCACACTAGGACTAAGCCCCTCCATTTGCAACTGGGTCCTAGACTTCTTAACAAACAGACTGCAGTCAGTGAGGATCCACAACTTCTCCTCCTCCACCATAACCCTGAGCACTGGCTCCCCTCAGGGATGTGTGCTGAGCCCTCTCCTGTTCTCTCTGCTCACGTATGATTGTACACCTACTCATCCAGGCTGTCATATTGTAAAGTTTGCAGATGATACAGCGGTGGTTGGATGCATCACAAACAACGATGAGTCCAGCTACAGGAAGGAGGTGGAACACCCAGACAGTGGGTGCAAGGAGAATAACATTCAATGTGAAGAAGACGAAGGAGATGAACGTGGACTTGAGAAGGAACAAACACACCTACCCCCTCACCTCCTGAATATAAGAGGATCTGTGGTGTAAGTGGTCTCCAGCTACAAGTACTTGGGTGTGCACCTGAATGACAACCTCAGCTGGAGCAACAACACCACCAGCCTGATCAAGAAAGCTCAGAGACGCTACGTCCTCAGGCGGATGAGCCGAGCTTATTACAGTTTTTCTTTTACATTTTATTGTTGGATGTAACTCGGGACCCTGTGTACATAATTTCATTCCACCACATGTACCACATGTGGTGAGAACAACAATAAGGAATATCTGAATCTGAATCAATTAAAGTCATGTGAATAAAAATAAATAGGACACCCTCTTTTATTGCTAAGGTTGTATGTACAATACATAAAATGATTTGGTCTCTACCAGGTTCTAAAATGTATTCCATTCCTCCTCAAAACACAATAGAGTCAACCATGTAATTATTTAAATCCATCCATCTGCCACTTGTTCTGGTGTCAGGTCCCAGGGGCAGCAGCTTGAGCAGGCAGGCTTAGATGTCTCTTTCCACCACCTCCTCTTCCAGCTCTTCTGATAGATTCCAAAGTGTTCCTAGGCTTGCCAAGACATAGCCCTTCCAGGTTTCCCCGGTCTTCTCCAGGGTCTCCTCCTAGTTAGACATGCGTCAAACACCTACCTAGGGAGGCATCCAAAGGGAATTGTTACTGGATGCCCAAACCACCTTAACTGGTTCTTCTTGTTGTGAAGGAGCACCAGTTCTATTTGGAGTCTCTCCCTGTTAAATAAATAGCTCACCATATCTCTAAAGGTACCAGCTACCCCAGAAGAGAAAATTAATTTTGACCACTTGTATCTACTTGTCTTGTTCTTTTGGTCACTACCCCGAGTGTGCAATCATAGATGAGGGTAAGAATGTAGACAGACTGCTAAACAGAGAGTTTTGAATTGCAGCTCAGCTCCCTTTTGACCACAGCAGACCAGCACAGAGTATGCAATTTTGTAAAAGCTGCACCAATGCATGACAATCACATGTCTCATTTTCCCTTCCTTGCAAACAAAACTCCAAGATACTTAAACTCCTCCACTTGAAGCAGCACCTTACTCCCAACCTGGAGGGGTCAGTCCACCCTATATTAACTGAGGACCATGGATCCAAATTTGGAGGTGCTGATCCTTATCCCAGCTGCTTCAAACTCAGCTGTGAACCGTCCTAGAGAAAGCTGGAGATCACAACATGATGATACAACAGGACGTTACTATTTGCAGAGAGCAGAGGCAAAACTCTGAGGCCTCCAAACTGAACACCTTCTGCACCATGGCTGTACAGAGAAATTATGGACACAAGTTATCAACAGAATCAGTGGCAATGGGCAGCCCCCTGGCAGAGTCTATTTTCTCATCGCTCCGATGGGGTCTGACTTACTGCTGGTAAAGCAAACCAGGCTTGCACTGTTTCTATGTGGACTGAATGGCCCGCAGCAACAAACTCCCTGACTAATACTCGTGGCGTAACCCCCTACAGCATACCCTGAGAAAAACTATCAAATGCCTTCTCCAGATCAACAAAACACATCAATGGGCAAAGTCCCATGATTCCTTGAGGACCCTAGCAAGGAAAGCTAAAGTAAAAAGCTGACCTTCCGTAGCTGAGACAGAACCCACATTGTTGCTCCTGAATCTGAGGTTCAACCATTGGTCAGAACTTCGTCTCCAGCACTCCTAAAAAGAGCTTAGCAGGGAGGCTGAGAGTGTGATTTCCTGTTATTGAAACACTCCCCCATCCACCATTCTGAAAAAAGCTACCAACCTAGGCTGCCGATCCTGCGGTACTGCCCCCAAAGCCCACAGGATGTTTCAATGGAGCGTCAACCAAGACTGCCCAGCAACACCCAGAGCAATGAGGAACTTAGGGAAGATCTTGTCCATCTCCAGAGCCCTGCTGCTGTAGGGCATTTTAACTACCGGAGCAAGTTCAGCTCCAATTATAGACACAATAACCACAAAGCCCCTCGAATCAGCTTCCTTCATGAACGATGTGCTGGTGGGACAGAGAAAATCCTCACGTCATTTAAATCTGTTGTTTTCACTGTGAACTTACCGATCTCAAACACACTATAATGCTACAACAAACAGTAACTTGGCTTTGGGTCTAAAATGCTCTTTGACTAACTACCAACCAACTAAATTCAACATATTTCCTTGAATAAGGCAACAAAAGTGGTACAAAAGAGCAGCATGGCACATCTGCCAAGTGAAAAGGCAAAGAAAACACTGAGTTGGTTGGAAATGTTTCAGAAGAATGACAAAACATCTTCTGACTTTTAGTTTAACAAGACTACGATAAGTCTCATCACAGCTGTGACCAAAGTACTGGTAGATTTGGATTTGAAGCACTTTTACAGACTTTAGTTTCACAGTACACATTTATGAGCATGGAATTTTATAGCTATTTGCAATTCCCTCGAAAACACAATAATCTGCAGGATTATATGCACAATGTGAAACCAACAGTGGTGTAAAGGTTAACCAAACAATGCTTGCATCAAGTGCTATGACATTTTCGATACAGAAATCGTTTTCGGACTTGTCTGTAGCTTCTCAGTTCTGTCAGGATTAAATTATTTCTCCAAATATTTAAAGAGCAGGTAAGATTAATTGTTCACAATTTTCCAATTTTTAGCCAAAAAAATCCCTTTAAACAAATCACAGAATGCTTTTAACTTTTATAAATTGTATTAAACAGACAAAGCACTTTGCATGTTTGAAAACCTGTTTTCCATTTCTACTTAAAACACTGACGTGAACAGATAAAATGCTCGAGTTGAACATCATTTAATGTCAACGCATGACAAAATGGTCTTCCTGAGACATTTAGACTTATCGTAAGCGTGATACTCTGGTTCCAACACAGAACTAAAAATAAACGTCACTGGGTGAATAATTAGGAGTCGATAGGGGACGGCAGGAGTCTGTTGCAACGCACCTCGAGTTCCACTCGATGAGCTTGTTGGGAGGTAGTCGTCGGTAACCCGGTGTGATGGCGGAGGAGAGCCGCGGGCTGGCCACGGAGAAGAGAAGCTGGAATCCCACGAAGCTGCCAGCTACCACGGTCAACTCTCTCGTCTCCATCACTCACCTAAACATGACAGGGAGAGAGGGAAGGGGGGTCAGGAAGGGATGAAATGAGGGGAATGACGCATGGAGACTGATCTACATCGACAGGTTCAGTCGATGGCCATCAGTCATCCTGGGCTGAGAACCGGAGGTGACAGTGATGGCAGGAGGGTGACGCTGCACACTGTGTTCATCCCGTCCACAAAGCAAACAGGAAGGGGCAAAGACAGGAGGGAAAAAGCATAAACCGAGAACACAGGCCGTCTATTCCAAGTGACACGAGAGCTTTAGCTGTGCTCTGCGTCAAGGGGGAAAAGATGAAAGGAAACAGAAACCGAAGTTAAGAGCAACAAAAGGAAAGAGTGACAAACAAAGAAAATTACTGAGACCGACTACAGTAGGTAGAACGGGAGCTCAATTTGGAATAAAAGGATGCCATTATGCATATTTTGGTAGGGGGTTACTGTGAGGTTGTGGGGCACATAAAAAAATCCCAGAGAAAAAAAAAAAGTCTGAGCAAAGAAAGAAAAGCGGATTTTTGAGATGAAGCAACTGGCTGAACTCATAAGACTCAGGGGCTGAACAACAAGCGTAAACTCAACAATGGTGCTCATTATTCCTTCACCTATTTATGTATTAGACATTTTGTGTTTTAGTTTTAAAACCGCTTCATCAGTGCACATCAAATTAAACAATAGACTGCAAAGTGATGGAAACAACTGGATGAGAACATTTATACACATACGGTCTGCCTCGATGCACTCCAATAGTTCAGAGTAAATAAATGCGTTATTTAGAGAAGACTGACATCTATGAAGAAGAGTAAGATTTTATTTTAGTTTGTAGATTTATATGGCTCTAAATATGTATTTAATCTTTTAAAAAAAGCCCAACACATTTGTTTAATTAGGGCACAATGAAATCATCCAAAGAAGAAAAATACAAGCACTTTGATAACTTTAAACACACAATACGTTTTATTTCAACCCTGCAAACGTCTCATCTGTGACGTACTCTCCAGCTGGAATCTTTTCCCTGAACTATATTTTGGGAACAGTACGGCGTTCCCTGAGCTCAACAAGCTCATTCTCAGTGTGTGGTTGTAAATCTGTCAGCCGACGTTACCTTCAACCTCACAGAGTTGTGCTTGGAACAAGAGTCTTGGATTTCCACGTGTTCGTTCTGAGTGGAAGTGTTTGTGTGGGCTGCATCTGGTGGGTCACCATGGCATCTGGGACAGCTGATTTGGGACCAGTTCGTTCCCCAGCCATTCCCACAGGTCTCTGAGAAAGAGACATAATCCCTGATTGCTCCCTGGGTGCCTACATAGCTGCCCACAGCTCCACCTGGGTGTATCTCAGGTGTGATGGGTTAAACACAGAGAACTGATGTCAACACACAGCACTTTATTTATTTTATTATCTCACCAATCAGGTGAGTGTCCTGGTCTGTGGTTCTGTCCAGGTCTTGGATTTGGCTGTGAATTAAAGACAAATCAAGTCTTGTTGGTTAGCAAACATGTTCAATGCATGTTTAGTTTCATGCAACGACTGACGGCGTCACCTACAGTAGATCTGATGGTGGCGCAGTTCGATGGTGCATAATCAACTCAGAGGCACGACTTGTATATTGAAGCGGTTTTTGTTTGAACTTTGCTGAATCGATCCTGCAGAATCAAACCCAACGATTAAATTGTGCAACATTTTCCCATCGTTCATTCAACCTTTATTTAGACAGGTTAATCCCATTGAGCCCCGAGCACCGATTCATCCGATCATACCGTTATTACAGTTTCAATTAACAACACATTTTCAAGTTCCCCCCTTCGTTACCAGACCTGCTGCTTCAAGTCATCATTTAGTTGTGCACTCCCCTAAACTTTTATGCTCTGCTGATTAAGACGCTGTTTGGTTGGACACAACCCGAATCTGTCATGGCTCGTCTACCAGAGATGCAACGCAAGTTTCTCTTTTCAAGGAAACAAACATGTAATAATCTAAAGTTATAAATAATTTGATCTGGTGCTTGTGTGTCTTGTGGAGCTGATAAAGGTACATGATAACTTTTTCCCTCTCATTTCTCTTAAAGAAACATTAAAGTTGAAGCCTCTTGTGCTGTAGGCAGCACGCTGCAGACCAGGGCTATTCAACTGGTGACCTGGGGCCAAATCAGGCCCACAGACGAGCTCAGTTCGGCCCACCAATGGGTTCATTTATAAATAAAACTAGATTTTAAACATGTAAATAAAAACGTATATAACTGCTGGATGTCTGGCCTCTAAATAAATACATTATATAGAACACTTTCAAAACAGCCTGCAGAGTTTCTAGTGTTAAAAAATATATATCCAGATTTGGATGAATTTCGACATTTTGTATCGATCTTAAAAATCACTACAAATGAAAACAGTAGAAATAAAAAAAACATGCATCACATTATATGTATCACCTATTGGTTTAAAATCAGTCCAGAGTTCAAGAAAACATGCAACTTGTTTCTCATGATAACACTCAAAACTATGAATACATGCAGTGTGACATGTTTTTATTCACTTGGGTCAACCAAAGAAAAGCTTGAAAAAGAAACCACAGATAAAATGCTCTTGTGAGATTAAATTTTAAAAAAAGGAAGTGCAGAAAATTGATCCTTCAGTTTTCTTTACATCTGCTTACATTCCAGAACAAAACTATTGATCGACCTGGAGCATGAGCAATGAGTTGACTTCCTCTTGACCCCGTTTACTCAAAGAGACAACTCATAAACAAATAAGAGCCCTCGACCTTCAGCGATCACATTTCAGCCACAGCTTCCAGCTTGTGAAACCCTCTCACCTTTTTGCGTCACAGAACCACCTGACCTGGTTTTAAGGCTTTCCCTCCCTCTTACAGCTCCACGGTAAACAAGCCGAGACAGGAAAAAGGTAAAGATGGCAGAAAACAGCAGGCGCTAAAGAACATTTTCATAATGAGCTTATACCCGCGCGTGGATTTATCAGCGCTTGCACTACTCTGCGTCAACACTGCCCCCCGACTCCTGCCTGGTACATCTGCTAAACTTCGGAGTAAATCCAAGAAATTATGCAAGTTATGTGAAAACTAATTACTGCTGCAGGGGAAAGCTTAGAGGGGAGGCAGTGGGAACTTGATACAGAGCAGATATGAGAGTTATGTTTGCAAAACAGCAGCATAAGCTCTGGCCAGTTCTGACACTTCGAGTATGTGTCCGGCCTCAGGGTCTATTTTTACTCAAAAACGTTAAGCACCGTGCAAACATACAGTTCTGGAAAGTTTAAAACTTCCACAATGACTTTCAGCTTTGGTCAGACAGAGCCACGTTCTGGGTAGATACGAGTAAAGTTTAAATCTTGGTCCTAGTCGAGGGCCGATCTCCGTCAATATTTAATGACTAAAAGCACACCCTGAAAATCAGTTCAGTACGTTGTTGAGTTTGGAATAAAGTTGGTCAAAAATATTCACACACACATGAACTCCCCTCTCCAGTATATTGTATACAATATAGAACAATGCGATGTTTAAGAAACTATCCAATTTAAAAAAGAACGAGAACAAGAAGTACAAGAACGTGCCGAACAAGAACACTTTTTTGATTTTTAAATAAGCTTTATTTACACAATAAGTTAACACAACAGTGTTAAAAAAAAAAAGGTGATCAGGACAAGCTTAAAATAAAATATGTACATGAGGACCTTGTTGTATTGTAGTTGTCCCTGATCAGTAATGGTGCATCAAACCTTCTTAAATCCACAGTTTCACAAAGTTCTCCAAGTGTCCAGTGTCTCTGTGGAAGCAAAACTCCAGCGCCAGACTGGCCTTGACGTTGCACTTCCACAGAGCCACGGCATCAAGTTGAGGTCCAGCCTGCGGTCTGTCCCTGCGAGACAAGTAAACAGACATTTTTGCTTTGGCCACTAAAAAGTTTAAAGTTGGGAATTCAAACTTAGTGGCTTTGATGTGATGTACTCCATTAATAAAAACAGATTTGGTGAGAACTGCGTCAAAAGGCTAAAGATCCTGGTCATTAGATTAAACGGAGCTGTGCACAATCTGTAAAAACGTGAAAAACACTCTCAGACAAACTGCAGAAAGGACACTCGTTTAAAACCTCTGGATTGATGACCGACAAAAAAAAGAGTTTGTTGCAATGACGTCGTGAAGAATCCTCCAAGAAGAACAAGAACAAAAAGAAGCACAAGCACAAGAAGAAGAAAGTGCTATGTATCATCATAACTGTACTGGTTCTCTGCATTGAACCCATCACATGTGAGATACATCCAGGTGGAGCAGTGGGCAGATATGCAAGCGCCCGGGGAGCAGTTAGGGATTAGGTGTCTTGCTCAAGAACATCACGACATGCGGGAATGGCAGGGAGTTGAAACTGCAACTTTCTGGTCCCAGGTCGGCTGCCCTACCTCTACACCATTTCAACCCCCTCGACATTCACTCCTTATACCTCACCCTCTACCAACAGTTTATTCCATTTAGTTGTAGAATTCATAGAATCTGCTCATTTCATTCAAAACTGCACACAGCTAAGGTAATCAGCTGTAGCTGTATGTGGCTCCTCGGACTGAGGAAGTCCTTTGGATGAAGGACGAAACGTTTCAACAAAAAGAAACCGTCCAGAGAACCTGAATCTTTACCTGGATTATTGAGCATGGACTTTGATGTTTTGAACCTTTGGCTATGGCTGCCTCAGAGAAGTCGACAGGGGAGAGGGCAGACTCCAGAAACTATATAGTCACAATCAAACTGGTTGGCCCACTATGTGATTGGGCTACTTATGGGACTGAGTTTGTTGAGGCTCCTCGGACTGATGAAATCCTTTGGATGAAAGACGAAACGTTTCAACAAAAAAAGACACCATCCAGAGGACCTCGTGGATACAGGAAGTTGAAATGAGTTTCCTCTACAGGGTAGCTGGACTCTCCCTCAGAGATAGGGTGAGAAGTTCAGTAATCCTGGAGAGACTCGGAGTAGAACCGCTGCTCCTCCACATGGAGAGGAGCCAGTT